AAGAAGCCAAACATAAAAGGGCATATATTATATGATTCTACTTAAATAAAGTGTCCAGAATAGGCAAATCTATACAGATAGAAAGTTGATAAGTGGTTGCCAGGAGGAAGAGGAAGGAGTAAGATGGAGAGTTACTAGTAAAGGGAATGGGGCTTCAGTTCATGGTGATGAAAAACTTTTGAAATTAGAGAGTGGTGATGGTTCCACAACATTGTAAATGTACTAAAAACCACTAATTGCACAATTCAAAGTGGTTAAAAGGATTACTTTTTACCTTGATTACAAAAAAAAGTGGTCCCCCAAAATTAGAAAGAGTAAGCCAGAGAGTGGAATGGGTCCTCAAAGGCTGCATAAGAACAAAGATTTTCAGAAGGACAAGGTTTAAAGAACATGATTCTAGATGCAACTTACTTTGGAGCTCTTTCAAAAATAAATGGCTAAAGCCTTATTTTTTCAGTCTTACATCTGCTAGTTAGAGGAAACTAGATTTGTACAGTATTTCTACATTAAAATATGAAAATTTTAAAAATATCAAGAGAACATTTTGATTTATTGAAACTGTGAATACATGTATATGCAAGCAAATTACACAATCATGATTGGAGTTTAAAATAACCTAGAAAATTAGATTATAATTGGCCCATATCTGTGATTTAAGCTTCATGAAAACATGACTCAATGAATTATTTTCTATATACACTGCATCACATTTTGAAGGTGCTATAAGTTCCTTCTGCAGTTTCTTGTGATCCACACAGACAAAGGCTTTTGCATAGTCAATGAAGCAGAAGTAGATGTTTTTTTGGAATTCCCTTGCTTTCTTAACAAGCCAACTAACGTTGACAATTTGATCTCTGGTTCCTCTGCCTTTTCTAAACCCAGCTTGTACTCCTGGAAGTTCTCGGTTCACATACTGTTGAAGCCTAGCTTGAAGAAGGATTTTGACCATAACCTTACCAGCATGTGAAATGAGCATAATTCTCTGATGGTTTGAACATTCTTTGGCACAATACACTCACTTTCTTTGGGATTGGAATGAAAACTGACCTTTTCCAGGTCTGTGGCCACTGCTGAGTTTTCCAAATTTACTAAAAAAATGAGTGCAGCACTTTTACCAGCATCATCTTTCAGGATTTGCTGAAGCTGAAGCTCCAGTATCTTGGTCACCTGATTCAAAGAGCCGACTCATTGGAAAAGATTCCAATACTGGGAAAGATTGAAGGCAAAAGGGGAAGGGGGTGGCAGAGGATGGTTAGCTAGCATCACCAACTCATAGGACATGAATCTGAGCAAACTCCAGGAGATAGTGAAGGACAGGGAAGCCTGGTGTGCTGCAGGCCACAGGGCTGCAAAGAGTCAGACATGACTTAGCTACTGAACACAACACACACATAAAGTTCCTTTAGTAAGCCAGAGAGTGGAATGGGTCCTCAAAGGCTGCATAAGAACAAAGATTTTCAGAAGGACAAGGTTTAAAGAACATGATTCTAGATGCAACTTACTTTGGAGCTCTTTCAAAAATAAATGGCTAAAGCCTTATTTTTTCAGTCTTACATCTGCTAGTTAGAGGAAACTAGATTTGTACAGTATTTCTACATTAAAATATGAAAATTTTAAAAATATCAAGAGAACATTTTGATTTATTGAAACTGTGAATACATGTATATGCAAGCAAATTACACAATCATGATTGGAGTTTAAAATAACCTAGAAAATTAGATTATAATTGGCCCATATCTGTGATTTAAGCTTCATGAAAACATGACTCAATGAATTATTTTCTATATACACTGCATCACATTTTGAAGGTGCTATAAGTTCCTTCTGCAGTTTCTTGTGATCCACACAGACAAAGGCTTTTGCATAGTCAATGAAGCAGAAGTAGATGTTTTTTTGGAATTCCCTTGCTTTCTTAACAAGCCAACTAACGTTGACAATTTGATCTCTGGTTCCTCTGCCTTTTCTAAACCCAGCTTGTACTCCTGGAAGTTCTCGGTTCACATACTGTTGAAGCCTAGCTTGAAGAAGGATTTTGACCATAACCTTACCAGCATGTGAAATGAGCATAATTCTCTGATGGTTTGAACATTCTTTGGCACAATACACTCACTTTCTTTGGGATTGGAATGAAAACTGACCTTTTCCAGGTCTGTGGCCACTGCTGAGTTTTCCAAATTTACTAAAAAAATGAGTGCAGCACTTTTACCAGCATCATCTTTCAGGATTTGCTGAAGCTGAAGCTCCAGTATCTTGGTCACCTGATTCAAAGAGCCGACTCATTGGAAAAGATTCCAATACTGGGAAAGATTGAAGGCAAAAGGGGAAGGGGGTGGCAGAGGATGGTTAGCTAGCATCACCAACTCATAGGACATGAATCTGAGCAAACTCCAGGAGATAGTGAAGGACAGGGAAGCCTGGTGTGCTGCAGGCCACAGGGCTGCAAAGAGTCAGACATGACTTAGCTACTGAACACAACACACACATAAAGTTCCTTTTAAAATACAAAATAAAATACAAGAGAACAAAAGCTGTTTTAATAGTCACCCCTGCTGTTAATACTACTAACATTAAAACTGTACTTTTTAAATATAAATTTAGTATCCACACTTGCCTCAGTTGCCAATCTTGCCAAGTTTTAAAGGAGTACCTATGATACCCTACATATACAAGGGCAATCTGTCACATATATAATTTCATAAGCAAACCATTCCCATCACAAGTTTTTATTTAGTGAACACTCACAGGGTACATGCGCTTTCCTAGGTAGCTCAGCTGGTAAAGAATCTGCCTGCAATGCAGGAGACCCTGGTTCAATTCCTGAGTCAGGAAGACCCCCTGGAGATGGGAATGATTTGCTTGTGAAATTGTATGTGTGACAGATCTCAATCCCTTCATCTGGAAAATGAACACAAGATTGCCTTACAAGAGGCAGGATGTGCAGAAGTTAAAAGCTCAAGCCATGATTATCATTATGTAAGATGTTACTGATGGAGATAGCTGAGGGAAGGGTCCACGGAACTCCTCGTATACTTTTGCAACTTCCTAAGAGTCTGTAATTAATTCAAAACAAAAATTTTTTAAAGTACAGGTGAGAAACCAGACCACCAGTGTTTGAATAGGGGCACAATCAATTACTGGCTGTGTGACCCCAATCAACTTATTTATATTCTCATCTGTAAAATGAAGATAAAAACAGCATTTGCCCATAAGATGCTGTGTGAATTAAATAAACTAGTACATGTAAACCACTCACAAAAGTGCTTGTCACGTGGCCTGGCACTCAACTGTCAGCCATTATTAATGCTGCTATGATTATATATTTTTATTCTAAGATCATAATTCAGCTCTAGAATTCTATATGTTTACTGATGTGGAGAGATACCAGCTAGTTTGAAAAAAAGAGAAAAAATCCTGGCAGCCATTGTGCCAAAATTCTAGCTCAGCCACCTGTCTTCTTTCTATAAAGAATCTTTCTATAGGATTTAGTGTAATATTTACATAGAAATATTTATTCTTTCAAAAATGGTTATATCACAAAGAGCCACACTGCTAGAGAAGAGTCTTGCTTCTATATCAAGGTCATCTCCACCAAGTGTTCTCCAAGTAGAGAACAATGTCTTATTTTGAAAGCTCCTAAGAACAGAAGAGTTCACATTTTCTCTGGTTAAGTCTTACCAGGGCCTTGAAGATGTCAGAAAGTTATTCTTGGCACAGTTTCCACTTATTGCCTCTTATCACAGTGGAGGCAGAAGATAAGTTTTAGAAGTTTATACCTTACTGTTTCTCCTTCTCTTTAACATCCTTATAGACTCTATCTTCCAACTGTTTAATAATCATCATTCCTACTTCACAGAGTTATTGGAAGGAGTACATGAATTAGAATACATCAAAGCACTGGGTGCTATACCTGGCATACAGTAAGTATTTAATACACTTTTCTTTCCTTCCTAATCAAGGGCTAAACTAATCGCCTCCATCACAAATGCCAGGCAATTGAGGTGTTCTAATTAGGACTTCACAATGAATGTACACAAACCCCAAAGTTTTTATCCCTATTTAGAGTTTTCAGTAAAGCAGTATTACAAAATCAGATCCTAACTGTACTTCCCTGCCCACCCTAATCAATTTTTATCCAAATCCTAAATATTCAGCTGTTACGGTAGCTTTCAAAGCTTAGATACCTTAAACTAAAAATAGTTCAAGAAACATATACTATAAATAGACATCCTTTGTGAAAACATTTTTCTTAAAATTATTCCTAAACTCACCTAAACTGTATTCAGACATATTTCTACTTAAAATGCTTTTTGCTCTTTCTACCATTACTGTAAATGTGCTTCTCCCTTCCTTTCAAAATGTGTAATCTTGTCAAAAAAAGGCAGATTTTATAAAAATCAAACACCTGAAGTAATGTTGCAACATGCTAGACTATAACTGTGAGAGAAAAATTAATTCTGTAAAAATGGTATCTCATTACCTCAGTTTGCAACTCTCTTAACTCTTTTCTAATGATTTTTAAAACCAGAACAGTCTGTATGCTTTTCACACTATCATTGTTTTCAGTTGAATTTTCTCCTCCTATTTTTAAGATTCTTCTGAAAGTGACAAAACATGAATAGGAAAAATACCAAAGCTTGATTTTTCAAATAACTACTACTTGGAGTAGTTTGGAAAAAGTCTGTTTTCACTTTCAGCCTCAAGAAGAACTTGGCTTTTTTTCATATCAATCAAATGTTATGAGAGAATGGTTAAAAGAGCTCTTTGATTTGAATTTTATCTTCAAATGCCAATACATTCCTTGGAATGTTTTTTTCTTTAGTTCTGAGAACACAGCAAGACCCAGTTAAAGCAGCATTTCCAAACACAAAGTTATAAAACTTAAACTCTGATAAAGACTGCTCGCAAATTCAATAGAATGAACAATTCGATTCTTAGTAGATTGTTTTCCTTTTACAAGAGAAAAATGCTTAAAAAAAAATCTTAACTGGAGTGATGTTTACCTTAAGAAAATACTGTATTCAGGATAGAAGATGCTCGTATATTGGACCCAGGCACCAGCTTCCTCTTCAGTTTCCAATTTTTTGACTTCTGTTACTGAAAACAGATTAAATGATTCAAATCTTCTTACAGATATATGTCGTAGACAGTCATCCAGGTGTTTTTGTTTCAGAACCTTTGAAATAAAACCAAATATTGTGGTCACAAATATGATATAAATGCAATGTTTAACGTTTAAGAGGTAAGGGGACTTTCATTTCTGATAATGGCAGATAATTCAGACCACTGTCTTATTGAAAATAACTAGAAAAGATGCACAAAACATTTTAAAACGCTACTCAAAGGCATCGGAGCACAAGAACGATACTGAAGATCTACCAGTCTAATATCTAACAAGGTAGATCTAGTGAGAAGAGGCTGGCTTTTGTAACCACTCTTCTTGTGAGACATTCAATCCCAAAAGAAAGGTCTGAGGAGACAAGCAGCACCTTCAACAGTTTGTAGAATTAGGGTGTAAAAGTTGAATTTCAAAGCACACTACCTATTCAGGAGCAGGTATGTTATTCTGAGCGTGTGTGTGTGTGCGTGTGTGTGCGCACGTGCACGTGTGTATACCTAGACAGGAGCAGTATGTTATTCTGAGCCGGTGTGTGTGTGTGCGTGTGTGTGTGTGTGTGTGTGTGTGTGTTTTAACATCAAATAAGTAATTTTGTTGGTGTCATTGAAAACTGGGTTCTTAAGTAAGAGAGAAAGGCAATACAGCTGTTAAGACTAAGGTTAAGCAAAAACACTGTGGCTCTGAATCTGAATGAAGTATAATATAAATTAGTGACGTATTTTATTTTTTAAAACTATACATGTATTACCTACATCGGACCACTGAAAGAGATTCCCTGGTGCCTCAGATGGTAAAGCGGTAAAGCCTACAAGCGGGAGACCTGGGTTCAATCCCTGGGTTGGGAAGATCTCCTGGAGAAGGAAGTGGCAACCCAAGGGACCAAACTAGCAGCAATGAACTCACTTAATGCACATACTGCTGTCTCTAAATGACAATTTTTATTAAAACAAAGTAAGGGGAGTTCCCCAGTGGTCCAGTGGCTGGGACTCCCAGCTTTCACTGCCAAGGGCATGAGTTTAATGATCCCTGGTTAAGGAACCAAGATGCTTCCCTGGTGGTTCAGATGGTAAGGAATCTGCCTGCAATGCAGGAGACCTGGGTTCGATCCCTGCCTTGGGAAGATCCACTGGAGGAGAGCATGGCAACCCACTCCAGCATTCTTTCTTGCCTGGAGAATTCCCATGGACAAAGGAGCCTAGCGGGCTATAGTCCATTGGGTTGCAAAGAGTCAGACATGACTGAGTGACTAAACATACAAAGAACTAAGATAAGGCAGGCAAGCTGAGGAAGAATGGCAGGAATTCTACAAGATAAGCCTGGAACATCATGCACACAAGAAAACAAGAAAGCCTTACAGAATTAGGGATTATATCAAAAGGATTCAAGAGACAATAGGAAAAGGGTCCATTGGCCAAAGATGGGATACTGTGAATATTAACACAGATAATAAATGTAACTAAACTGAAACACATTAGTTCACAATGGTAGTTTTTAAATGCCTCACTGCTGATCACTGAAGAATGCAAAGAACCAACTTATTTTGAAAACTAGTAATTGAAGAGAAAGAATCAAGTATTTATCTGTTTTTCCTATATAAACCGTAACTGAGAGTATCCAAATGGAAGAGGGGAACTTTCTCTTTAAATGAATAGCCCAAGTAATAAATGAAGAAAGAACAGAACGTCACCATTTTCAACTCCCTCATGAATTCATGAACCAAGGTAATCATGATAAGGAAATGACCACACGCCCTGTGATTACTGAGGAAATTTCACACCACCATTATGTTGACCAATTAAACAAAACAAAAAATAACAAATCTGAGTTTCATCAAATCTCTAATGGAAAATAGGAAATACAGGGGTAGAGGAACACATTGATCAAGAGCAATTAGCAAAATTCAAATTATGGGAAATGCTACACAACACCCAGTTTCTTCTAAAATAAACAGCAAGGGCTGGAAAAGAGACATGCCAAGGGAATATTTATTAATAGATTAAAAAGACTTAAACATATCAACAAGAACAATATTTGGAACTTAATTTGGATCCCATTTTCAAAAAAATTAAACTGTAAAAAAAATTAGGAGACAATGGAGAAAATTTGGAAACTGACCAGATCATCAAGGAATTATTCTGCATAGGATTTGGCATTGTAATTATTTTTTAATGTTATCTTGTATAGGTACATACTGAAGTAGTTATAGAAAAATGTTATCTGAGATTATCTGTTACCTCAGTTGTTATCTGAGAATGGTAACTCAGTTATCTGAAGATTCACTTCAAAATAATCTGGTGAGAGTTGCATAACGAGAGATTAGAAATGAATTGAAGTAGTCCAGAGTTAAAAATAGTTGAAGCTTATAGAAGCCTTCCTCAGTAATCAATGCAAAGAAACAGAAGAAAACAATAGAATGGAAAAGACTAGAGATCTCCTCAAGAAAATAAGAGATACCAAGGGAACATCTCATGCAAAGATGGGCTCAAAAAAGGACAGAAATGGTATAGACCTAATAGAAGAAGAAGATATTAATAAGAAGTGGCAAGAATACACAGAAGAACTGTACAATAAAAGATCTTCACAACCCAGATAATCATGATGGTGTGATCACTTACCTAGAGCCAGACATCCCGGAATGCAAAGTAAAGTGGGCCTTAGGAAGCATCACTATAAACAAAGCTAGTGGAGGTGATAGAATTCCTGTTGAGCTATTTCAAATCCTCAAAGATGATGCTGTGAAACGGCTGCACTCAATATGCCAGCAAATCTGGAAAACTCAGCAGTGGCCACAGGACTGGAAAAGGTCAGTTTTCATCCCAATCCCAAAGAAAGGCAATGCCAAAGAATGCTCAAACTACCACACAATTGCACTCATCTCACACGCTAGTAAAGTNTCATATATGGATGTGAGAGTTGGACTATAAAGAAAGTTGAGCACCAAAGAATTGATGCTTTTGAACTGTGGTGTTGGAGAAGACTCTTGAGAGTCCCCTGAACTGCAAGGAGATCCAACCAGTCCATTATAAAGGAGATCAGTCCTGCATATCCATTGGAAGGACTGATGCTGAAGCTGAAACTCCCAATACTTTGGGCACCTGATGTGAAGAACTGACTCATTTGAAAAGACCCTGATGCTGGGAAAGATTGAAGGTGGGAGGAGACTGGGATGACAGAGGATGAGATGGTTGGATGGCATCACCGATTCAATGGACATGAGTTTGAGTAAACTCCGGGAGTAGGTGATGAACAGGGAGGCCTGGCGCGCTGCAGTCCATGGGGTCGCAAAGAGTCAGACACGACTGAGATTGAACTGAACTGATAGATACCTGAATGGCTTTTAAAGTATTATTTCCAATTTTGCATATATCTGACATTTCCTATGAAGTGTTTTTAATATATAAAGCACTCTAATAGTCATAAACAAATTAAATATAACTAAAAAGATATCTAAAATTAACTATACTTGAAAGTTAAGCAACAGACTTCTAAATAATCTATGAATCAAAAAACACACAATGGAAATTAGAAAGTAGTTTGAACTGAATAATAAAAATGCATTTCAAAACACGAAATGCAGCTAAATCCATATTTAGAGGGAAATGTATGAAAAAGCTAAAAATCAGTAAGCTATGTACCCATTGCAAAAACTAGAAAAAGAACAAATTAATTCCTGAAAAGAGTAAAAGTTAATAAAGCAGAAAACAAACAAAGCAGGGGGAATTAACAACATCAAGGGATGGTTCTCTGAAGAGATTAATAAAACTGATAAACCCCTGATGAAGCTATTAAGAAAAAAAGAAAGAAGGTAAAAATTTCAATGACATAAGGAGATTACTGTAGATCCTACAGGCACTAAAAAATGCAAAGGAATATTATAAAGACTAACTTTGAAATTTTAGATGAAATGGACAAATTCCTGGAAAAATAAAACTAACCAAAATTGACACAAGCAGAAACTGAAAGTCTAAATAGTCCTAAACTTTTTAAAAATAAAATGCATAAATAAAATAAATAAATAAATAATAACCAAAAAATGCATAAATAAAAATTTTACCACAAAGAAAACTCCAAATCCAGACTGTTCACCAGCAAATGACACCAAACATCTAAGTAAGAATTAATTTAAGTCTTACCACACTCTTCATTAAATTCTCAAATAACCCCATGGGATAGATACCTATTATGTGACAGAGAAAACTATTGAAAAGGAATGGTAATTTGCTCAAGGTCAGAAAGCCAGTAAGAAGCAAATTCAGGTTATCTGACTACAGAGCTTGAACTTTCAACACCTCCTCTTGTGGAGAATGTGGTAGCCTGGCACCAAACATCACATTCCCACTTCCTTTAAGATACCTTCCTATAATAAAGCTAGAAATCACATTTCCCAGAATCCCTAGAAGTCAGTTTCATATGTGCTTTTGGTTTAGCTAACCGGATGGACTAACATGAGATTTGAAAGAAAGAAAGATGGGAAGAAGAAAGATCCATCTCTGCAATGTGTGCTAGTAAGAACAGTTCTAGAGACATTTGGATCTTCAGCAGCTTTAGCAGAGATTCCAATGCTCACGCTCTAATTTAGTGGGGAGTGAAACTGAGTAATGGAGTATGGATGCGCGCGCGCACACACACACACACACACACACACACAGAGGCAGTACAAGTGTCAAACCTTTGCTGGTAGACACAGCAGGCAAGGTGTACTTCTGGAGTCTACAGTTCCAGAAACAGCTTCCTGATCACCAGAGATCACAGACAATGTGAAGTGATCCCAGAAAGAGGCTCAAGTTCTTCATTTTGGTAGAGTCAGCATTTCTCTTGGCAGGCCAGCTTTTGTGTTGCTCTGGGACTCACTCTTTGTACATTCCTTTAGTTCTTCCAAAGACTTTATGAGCACTTAATTCCCTTTATAAAGTCCTTTCTGCTTAAAATAGCTAGAGCTGTTTCTCTTATCTAAAAAGGAGCCCTGACTACATAAAGGCAAACTGAAATCAGAACCAAGCAAGAAACCATACCAACATGAATAATATACCTTGAGGGAAAAAATTGGATTAAAATTT